TAACTGTGAAGGTTGGTGGTTCGAGCCCACCCAGGGACGGTGGGGTGAGGTTTTAGAGAACACCAAAGAGACTCCCTTTTGCCAGGAGAACACCGGGAAGTGCAGCGGCGAGGTGGCAGGCAGAGAAAAGAGCCCATTAGTCAGGTATAAAGGAGCAGCGGGGAGGGCGGGTCCCGGGGGATTGGAAGCGGCGATCAATCCTGAGACCCCAGAGTGCTGACCGCCTGCGCCATGAACAGGGCCACCGAGCCGCGGGCCCGCAGCCCGGGAGGGGCGGCGTCCACACCGCTGGGCTGCGGGGTCTCCTGGCCTCGGACGCACCCACTGTCCCCGCCTCTTGCGGGGGCGACACCTGAGCTCGGGGGCGGAACTAAGGGTCTGAGGACTCTGCGTTGGGTGCGGGACCCCGAATGCAGCCTGTGGGGGCCCCAGTGTCCTCACTTGAGGGGAGATGAGGAACTCTAAAGCAGGGCCCTCACGAACCGCTGTCTCCGCGTCTGAGCGAGTTTGGGGCTTCAAGGTTCCTGTTTGAGTGTTAAAATTTGGTGGTCTGATGCTGGAGGCAGCATTCGGGATTTCATGGCATATAGTGTTAAGTACTGGAGATTGTGCCGTTTCGGTAGTGTAGTGGTTATCACGTTCGCCTCACACGCGAAAGATCCCCGGTTCGAAGCCGGGCCGAAACAGGTTGCTCTCCCCCACTCCCACCGCGGAGAATTGCGTTCGCATTGGCACGCACTCAGCTGTAGGCCGCTGAGGTATTTCTTTTCCTGCTTTCTGACGACTCATCTTTCTCCTGAAGAAGCGAAATAACCTTTGTCTACAGCTCCCTGGTGGTCTAGTGCCTAGGATTCGGCGCTCTCACCTCTGCCACCCGAGTTCCATTCCCAGTCAGGGGAAACTTTCTCTGTTCCAGCGTCTGTACTCACACAAGTCTCTCTCTTCCTGCCGCGATGGGAACCGTATTTTGCTTAAAAGTCCAGTGTAGAACATTTCTGCACAGAGTTCCTAAGCCGCTGAGTCTGCTAGCGTCCTGGACCTCAGGCTGGCTGTTGGAGCTGAGATGCTGTGAAAGGCCTGAGCTGGCCAGCTCTCGCCTCCACTCTTTTCTCCTGGCATGGTAAACCCAGAGCCTTACTTACAGAGTTTTCATTCCAGAATGTGAGGCTTCAGTTCCAAAAATTCATTAAAAACCAAACCCAAAGCTTTTGTAAGATACCAAAAGTTGGCAGATGGTATATTCTGTACCTACGTGGGCAGTTAACATCATATTCTTTCTTTCTTTATGTAAGAGTTATGACATCACTTGATAATAACATGCAGACATCTCCGGATGGTTCCTTTCCTTTGGCGTCCCTCTCAAAGCTATCTTCTGTGGGACCTGTCTTCCAAGGACAGGAACAGCTTGGCCGTCCAGAAGAGGGCCCTCTTGGCCCTTCAGGAACCTGGAATCTGGTCTCTTTTGGATGTAGAGAGGGTATGTATATTAGTCGCTAGTCATGTCGGACTTTTTGAGATCCCTCTGGACTGTAGCTCACCGTGCTCCTCTGTCCATGGATTCTCCAGGCAAGACTCCTGGAGTGGGTCGTCATTTCCTTCTCCAGGGGATCTTCCCGACCCAGGTCTCCTGTATGGCAGGCAGATTCTTCACCATCTGAGCCACCAGGGAAGCCCAAAACAAACACGACCACAATGCACTGACCAGGAATCAAACCGGGTCTCCCGGGTGATAGGCGAGAATTCTACCACGGAGCCACCAACGCCCCTACTGAGAGGCTTTTTAAAAGAATAACCTAGATGGTGTTTTAGTCAGCTCTTTCCAGGTGCAGGCCTGTCATGCCCTGTGCTTGTAGGATGCTCTAGGCTTTCATCCTCTGCCCTCCGCAGCACCGGCTGCCCTCTGGCCTCTTGCAGGTTGCTTGGGTGGACAGTCAGTGGTGCTTTGATCCGTCTGACTGGTGGAACCACCTCGTCCTCATCCCCACTGGCTCAGTCATATCTGACTCTTTTCGACCCCATGAACTGTAGCCAGTCAGGCTTGTCTTTCTGTGGGATTTCCTCGCTACTTTGCTAGAAACCCATCGGGTCAGTGCAGCTGCCCCCTTCACTCTTGCCTGGCTCCCCGTGTCCTGCAGGGATGATAAAGTGTCTGTCAGGACACAGAGGTGAAGAATGCTTCCCTGTGGCTGGTGGAATAGAGAACCAGATGGAAAACACTTCCAAGGGAGGGGGGAATACCCTCAAGAGCTTTCCAGGACTGTTGTGCGGGTGCTGTCAGCTGGGTCTAAGGCCCAGGATAATAATGCTTAGTCTTGTGTTCTCTGGCCTTGACCCAGTCCCAGGTCCAGTCTGAACTCAAGCACAGAGGCATCCTGCTTTACCACACATATTCCACTCTCCCTCTCTCCAAAGTGGGGGAGTGAACCACCTTTTCTATCTCAATGAATAGAACCCATGTGGGTTGTTGGTTTTTTTTTTCCCCCTTGAACTTTCTGTTCTGCTGAAATGTAACTCAGGAATATAAAAAACCTTTAGCTTTGGATAAATCAGTGCTATCCATGCTATGGACAAGAAAAAACATCAAATTGATAGTAAGGATGAATCTTGAATGCTTTTAACACTCTAGATAATTCTAACAATTGACGCATAATTCTATAGAAAATGTTTGTCCTGTCATACTCTCAGAGATGACTCCTGGTATGCCTTACACAGCTTTAATAATTTTGGTCTAAAAACTACTTCATGTTGACTTTCAGATTTTCTAAAAATGTGGAAAATATTGATGCCATACTATTGTAGACTGTAGAAGGCTTGGATTTATTTTCTATTCAAAATCCTAATGAAACTGAACTGCCTAAATATCCTGTATTGTTTTGTTTCTCTTAAGCAAACTCTAATTCCAAAAAATATTTCCATTTATAAAACTCAAAATTCTGTTTCACAGGAAATTGAATACACCACATAATATTTTTTCTACGAAGATTAAGTCTCTTATTTATAGAAATCATAGTTGCCTATATTCCCCTTTAAACTTGGGGGTAATGTTTTTAGGTATCATCGAATATGTGAATATGTGACATCGCAGACCCTCCTCGCCACCATTTACTCAGAGAGACAACTGTGCACTTACAAGACTTGCGGTGCAAAGCCCCCTCTCAGGGCAAGACTCCGTGGGCTCAGCCTCTGCCTTTTACTCCAGACACCCAGGGGACCCAACAAGGGGTCGGCACTGGCCGGGTCACTGCGCCCCCGGGCGGGGGTTGGAGGGCAGAGGAGGGGCCGGGCTCTGGTGGGCAGGGATGGGCAGAGCCGCCCGCGTCCAACGAGGACACCCCGGATCGGTGCCACACCTATCCGCGGTGTCCCTGAGAACCACGCCCCAGGGGTTCCGGGAGCCTGAAGGCAGGTCCTATTAGAGAAGTAAAAAGTATTCTTCTAACGAGACAGAAAGGTCCCACCGAGATTTGAACTCGGATCGCTGGATTCAGAGTCCAGAGTGCTCACCATTACACCCTGGAACCCTCTCGGAAGGCACCTGGCCTCCACTGGCAGAGAACGGTATCCGCTCCTTTAGCCTCCAGACGTCCCACCCAGAAGCTCAGGGCAGTTCTTCTAAGGCCCTGAGGAGACGCCAATACGGTTGACTCCCGCAGGTGCTCATCCCTCTTGCTTTCTCTCTGCTCCTCTCCTTTGATCGACGCAGCTCACTCTCACCTCAGAAACTGAGGTGAAATCCACTTTGGGTTTTGTGCCAGGGAGGACCCCCTTAGCTCTCCATCACCAACCGCATAGTCTGCCTAGGTGACCAGACTGTCCCATCTTGAGGTAAAATTTCTGCAAATAAGAGTGTTATTTTCCTTTTCTTTGCCTTCACCCTTTTCCCATCATAGCCCAGAGGGGGCAGACGGTTGTCAGGGCAGGAGGTGGGGTTTCCTGGGTCCCTTCGTTTCCTCATAGGGCTGATTACACTCCTAAGCTGCCACCACCTCTTACGTGTAACATATAAAGCGTGTCAGCGGTGGAGTGGGAGTGGAGGCAGGAGAACGCTTCTTTCATTCTTCATATACTTCTTATTTGGAGAGGAGTAAGTTATTCTCACAGCAAGTGTCTATTTGTTAAATTTACAATGTGAGTAAAAATAACCATTTAAAGAAAACACTCAGACAAACCAGCTATACTCACTTACAGGGACATCAATGAAGCTCAGTGGAATTCAACTCTTTGTGTCCCCAGGGACTGTAGCCCACCAGACTCCATTGTCCAAAGATTCTCCAGGTAAGAATACTGGAGTGAGTGGCCATTCCCTTCTCCAGGGAATCTTCCAAAATCAGGGATTGAACCAAGGTGTCCTGCATTGTAGACGGATCCTTGCAGTCTGAGCCCCCAGGGAAGCCCACTCTGGTGGACCGCCTGGTGCACACAGGAAACCAAAGCACAGACCCGGAGGCCTTTGCCAGGGTGGGCAAACTCTGATTCATTGGATGTAGGCGAAGAAACGGAAAGAGCCCTCATGGCAGCCAACCCGGTGTTCAACTGTCCTTGGATCTATTTCGGTTCAGGCCTGGAAGGTTCGAGCCCTGGGTCCCGAATTTTCTGGGGGCACTGGCATCTGTAGCGGGTAGTGGGCAGAGAAATGACACCCTTTCTCTGCGGGCCAGAGTCCTTAAGCCGGGAATGAGTGTCTACTCCATACAGAGTCCAAAAGAAACCCTTCCTGCTGTCTCTGTGGCGCAGTCGGTTAGCGCGTTCGGCTGTTAACCGAAAGGTTGGTGGTTCGAGCCCACCCAGGGACGGTGGGGTGACATTTTAGGCACCACCATAGAGACTCCCTTTTGCCGGGAGGACACCAGAGAAGTGCTGCGGCGAGCCGGCTTGAGGAGAAAGAGCGCAGGAGTCAGGTGCAAAGGGGCAGCGGGGAGGGCGCGTCCCGGGTGGACTGGGAGCGTCGGTCATTCCTGAGAGCCCGGAGCGCTGACCGCCGACGCCGTGAAAAGGGCCACCGAGGCGCGGGTCCGCAGCGCGGGAGGGGCGGCGTCCACACCGCTGGGCTGCGGGGTCTCCTGGGCCTCGGGCGCACCCAGTCCCCGCCTCCTGCGGCTGCCGGGAGCTGGGCAGTCGGCGGGGGCGACCCCTGAACTCAGGCTGCGCAGCTGAGGGTCTGAGGAGTCTGCGTTGGGTGCGGGACCTCGAAGGCAGCCTGTGGGGGCCCGAGGGTCCTCACTTCAGGGGAGAGGAGGAATCCTAAAGCAGGGCCTTCGGGGGCCGCCGCCTCCGTGCCTGAGAGAGCTTGGGGCTTCAAGGTTCCTCTTTCACAGTTAAGAGTCGGTGGTGTGGATAGCGGTGGCGGGACCTCGGGATTTCATGGATACTGTCTTCCAGTAGAAAATGTTCCGTTTCCGTAGTGTAGTGGTTATCACGTTCGCCTCACACGCGAAAGGTCCCCGGTTCGAAACCGGGCGGAAACAGTCCCCCTCCTCCTTTTTTTCTCCCTGAGATGTGCCTTCTCATTGGCAAAACTCACAGGCGCGAAAGGCCCGGGGTGAGGCAGAGGACGCAGCTGTAGTCAGAGTTGGTGACCAACTGGAAGTTTATTCAGCGCCCGGAGAGGCCCTGGAGCCAGGTCAGAGATCTGGAGGTGGACGGATCCGCTCATCACCCGCCACTCATCACCGAGCCTGACTCCAAAGAAACCCGAGGTTCACGAAGAGACCAAGACCTGGGCTCGGCAGCACGCCGCGCTAGAGCTAGAGCAGGAGGGACCCAGCCCGCTGCTTTGTGTCCTTGCCCCGGAGCCAAAGCGACGCCCAGGACAGGAGAGGCGAAGGGCGATGAGCGGCGGGGGCAGGGCTGGGAGCCTCGCACAGCTGCACACAGCCCTGGGCCGCTGCGACATTTCCTTTCCAGCTTTCTGACTTTCTGAAGAGTCATCTTCCACTCACCTTTCACCTGGAGAAGCTAAATAAGCTTTTGTCTACAGCTCCCTGGTGGTCCAGTGGCTAGAATTCGTCGCTTTCACCGCCGTGACCCGGGGTTGATTCCTGGTTAGGGAAATCTTTCTTTCTTTCTTCCAGCATCTGTACTCACACAAGTCTCTGTCTTCCTGCCCAGATCGGAACTGTATTTTGCTTAAAGGTCCAGTGCAGAACATTTCTGCACAGAGTTTCTAAATGCCGCTGAGTCCGCGCCTCAGGGTCCTGGACTTCAGGCTGGCTGTTGGAGCTCAGATGCCATGAACAGCCTGGGCTGGCCAGCTCTGGCCTCCACTCTTTTCTCCTGGCATGGTAAAGCCAGAGTCTTACTTAACAGAGTTTCCATTCAAAAAGAATGTGAGGCTTCAGTTCCAAAAATTCACTCAAAACCCAAAGCAAAAGCTTTTCTAAGATACCAAAAGTTTGCAAGAATACTAACATCCTATATTCTGTAGCTAAGTGCCCAGTTGCCATCACATTCTTTCTCTATGTAAGAGTTATGACATCACTTGGTAGTAATGTGGGGATATCTCAGGATTGTTCCTTTCCTTTGCCGTCCCTCTCAAAGCTAACTTCCTTGGGACCTGTCTTCCAAGGCCAAGGAACAGCTTTACCGTCCAGAAGAGGGCCCTCTTGTCCATTTGGGAACCTGGAATCCGTTCTCTTCAGGGTCGCTCAGTCCTTTTGGAATTTTTGCCACCCCTTGGACTGTAGCATTCCTCTGTCCATGGGATTCTCCAGGCAAGAATACTGGAGTGGGTTGCCATTTCCTTCTCCAGAGGATCTTCCCAGCCCAGGTCTCCTGTATCTCCTCAGATGGATTCTTTACCTTCTGAGCCACCAGGGAAGCCCAAAACAAACAAGACCACAAGGCACTGGCCAGGAAACGAACCCGGGTCTCCCGCGTGGAAGGCGAGAATTCTACCACTGAACCACCAATGCCGCTCTAGAGGTTAGAATTGGACATGAATCAACAGACTGGTTCCAAATTGTGAAAGGAGTATGTCAAGACTGTATGTTGTCACCCTGCTTATTTAACTTCTATGCAAAGTACATCATGTGAAATTCCAGCCTGGATGAAGCACAAGCTGGAATCAATATATCTGCAAGAAATATTAATAGCCTCAGATATGCAGATGACACCACCTTTATGGCAGAAAACGAAGAGGAAATAAAGAACCTCTTGATGAAAGTGAAAATGGAGAGTGAAAAAGCTGGCTTAATATTCCACCTTCAATAAACAAAGATCATGCCATCAGGTCCCATCACTTCATGGCAAACAGGTGGGGAAACCATGGAAACAGTGACAGACTATTTTCTGGGCTCCAAACTTACTGTAGATGGTGACTGTAGCCATGAAATTAAAAGACGCTTGCTCCTTGGAAGAAAAGCTATGACCAACCAGGACAGCACATTAAAAAGCAGAGATATTACTTTCCCGACACAGGTCCATCTCATCAAAGCTATGGTTTTCCCAGTAGTCATGTACGGATGTGAGAGTTGCACTATAAAGGAAACTGAGTGCCAAAGAATTGATGCTTTTAAACTGTGGTGTTGGAGAAGTCTCTTGAGAGCCCCTTGGACTGCAAGGAGATCCAACCAGTCCATCCTAAAGGAAATCAGTCCTGAATGTTCTTCGGAAGGACTGATGCTGAAGTTGAAGCTCCAACAGTTTGGCCACCGATGGGAAGAGCTGGCTCAGTACAAAATCCCTGATGCTTTAAAGATTGAAGGCAAGAAGAGATGAGGGTGACTGAGCATGAGAGATGGTTGGATGGCATCACTGACTCAATGCACATGAGTTTGAAGAAACTCCAGGCTTTGGTGATAGACAGGGAAGCCTGGCGTGTTGCCATCCTTGGGGTCGCTACTGAACTGAAGAAATTTGGGAAGAGTTCTTCACCACCGGAAAGCTCCACAGGGCCAACAACCAGCCCACCTTTCTCTGCTCTGAGTCACCTTGTAGAACAAGCCACAGTCAGTGAATCCAAGGAGGCCACAGGACAAAGCTGACTGCACGATACTTTTACCTCCTGATATCCCCTCACCTTTTCATCTGGGCCCTATATCGTCTCTACCTCTGACACCTATCATCTCTCTGAAAACCAAGAAGTTCATCCCTTGTGAAGACACTTTGCTTTCCCTCACTCCAGCACAAGTGCGGGACAATCTGATTTGAGTCAGAGAACAAAAGGGAAAGAATTGAACTCCACAGCGCGGTTTCCAGCCAAAGACACAACGATCAAGAGCGTCAGGCTCTGCGGATTGAGCTGATCCAGGAGGAAAAGCAGCCAGTCCTCGTGCCGCTCTCAGAGGAGGCCCCGAAATCAGGTCAAGATCAGGTAGTAAATGGAGCCACCCATCACCAGCTGAGAACCAAGTGGCCCCTGCTTCACAAGGAAACAGGTTCAGAAAGAGAGCTTGACCTCTCGCCAAACCTGGATTCCAGGTCTTCCCACACGACCTGCGGAACCTCCCTTGTCCACTTCTTGGATGAGGCTGAACCTCTGATCCAGGCGTTGGGCGGCCGTCGTTGCGCAGGGAATGGATCTGTCGCCTCAGCGCGCTCCACTCGCCGGCTCTGAAGCCCTGCGCCTACCATTTCTGCCGCAGGGAGCCGTGTGTCTGTGGTCCCTCGGGCGTCCGCTGTGCGTCCACCCTGACGGGGAGAGGACCACCGCACCCTCGTCCCGTCCAAGTGGGGCGTCAGCATGCCGGACGCGACAGAACACGATGAATCCGCTCCTCTGTCTGGACGTGGGAGCTGAAAACTAGGACCTGCAGGGGAAGAAAGCAAGGGGAAATGGCAAGAAACGCCCTGATCTAAAGCTATTTTCCAGTCCGCCTCTTTGGGAACTCAGGCCTCTAGCGCGAGTGAGGGTGCTGTCGGGTGGTCTCACCCTCGACCGCACTCGGAGTCCCCGCGCAACCAGGAGGAGCCCTGCGGCCTGGACGCGGCCCGCGCCTTCCGCGGGGTCTGAGCCGGCGAACCTCTGACGCGAGGGCAGCGCCGGCCGCACCGAGAAGAGGAAAGCCACTGCTGGAGAAAACGGCACATGCAGTCCCCAAAGTGAGAAACTCCACTTCTAAAGGAAACCAGAGACAGACAGACACACAGACAACACTGCATTAAAGTCTTTCAGCGAAAAGAAACTCTGCCTGCTGTGAAGTAAATGCGAAAACCCTTCAAGTCACCGGCTTTCTGAGAAAACGCCTTTATCTCTCTGGTAAATACGCGTTCCACGACCTGCTGAACTGCAAAATTATAAAAGGAAAACCAGAGGCGTTTCAGACATTGTGAATTGTAGAACAAAGCCGTCCTTCAAGAAGAATGTCAAGTTTGATGAGGAAGGAATGAAGACGGTCAGATCTGCGTGCACCGCGCCCGGCTCCTCCGCGGCTTTTTGCGGGGCCTAGTCGGCAAAGGAATTCAACAAATGACCTGAGCCTCAGCCTTTGCTGCGCTTGCTGCTAAACGTGGAGGTGTGATGCAAGTCTGGACTGAAACTAGGGGACTAGAATCAGCCACAGAGGCAGGAATCCGAGGAACCCCCGGTGCCAGGCGGCGCCGGAGAAGCGCTGCTGTGAAAGGCCTGTGAGAGGAGCGCACGGGTGGGGCGGCGCAGAGGGGAGGGCGGGTCCTTTGTTTCCCGAGTGGGATTTAAAACTTCGAGCCTGGTCCCCGCTGGCGCCGTGAAAAGGGACGCTGAGGCGCGGAACTGCCGCCGGAAGGGCTGCGTCCACCTTGACGAACGTGGGGCCACCTGGGGCTCAGACGCACCTTCCTCCCCCCCGCTCCTGAGGCTTCTGAGAACTGGGCAGTCAGCGGGGGCGACCTCTGCGCTTGGGCGCAAAGCTGGCACACAGGGACCTCGCTCCGGGAGAGGCGGAGAGGCCAGGAACCCTACATCAGGGCCTTTCAAGACCGGCAGATCCTGACTTGACAGATTGCCTGTGTTTCCAGAGTCCGCTTCCTTTGAAACTTTGACGGTCAGGTGTGTTCAAGCAGGCGATTCTTGGATATGTCACCAGGCAGAATCGGTCGCGCAGTTTCCGTAGTGTAGTGGTTATCACGTTCGCCTAACACGCGAAAGGTCCCCGGTTCGAAACCGGGCGGAAACAACGTCCCTTTTCCCCCAAACTTTCAGTTTCATATTTTAAGCACACAAAAGAGGCCTGCCGCGTGGAG